TGTGATTTAAGGCTTACGTAATGTTTATGGGGTGTTGAAATATATTTAGATTATGGGTACAAATTGAAATGTTTTGTTTATTTTAATAAATTCTGGGTTAAAGAGGTCACTCAAAATGTTAAGTGTATACGTGTTGGTAGATTTTGGAGTACGAATAGCCTAATGGTTAATGGTACAGATTTCAGATTACGTAGTCCAGAGTTCGAATCCCGCTATTCGGCTACTATCGTAAACCATATCCTATCACAAGCCTAGAGCTTACATGGAATGATACAAGAAATATGATATTGGGACCTTCAAAAGTAGAGTGAATAGGCACTTACTAAGCTAGCGCGTACCATCTTTCGACCAAATCTCCACTTCACCAGGTGGGATCGTGGTTTAGCTTGTAAAACGTAAAAAAAAATATATTAATAAATTAACAAAAACCTGCTAATATTTTTACAATGAAAAAATAATATGCTTTTTTATATTATAAGGTGGCAAACGAGCGAGCGGCCGCTTGAAATCGCTGAAATAGCGATGTGACCGTTGCCCATAGACATACGCAATTGCATATGCGTTGCCTTCCTTTAATCGACGGAGGAGAGGATGCACAGAAAGAAAATATCTTACCTTCCCATGCACTCCCTCATCCGGAAAGTCCGCTTCCACTTCGCATCTTTTCCTTAAGAAAAAAAAATGGGAATGGAAAGAGAACTAAATTAGGCCTCAGCTATGCTACTCAGAGTCTTATTCCAGTTTAATACTCACTAAAATATCCTTTTTGAGATTTAGTTACAGTAGTCTACACTAAGGGCTGCTTTAGTATTAGACTACTGTTAATGCGGCAATATACATATACTAGCTGTCGCCCGAGACTTCGTCCGCGCGTAATTAAAAATGACATAATTTGTAGCCTATGTGTTTTTCCAGGCAATGTTATAAATTTCATCTAGATCCATTCAGCCGTTTCGGAGATACCTTTAAACAAACATCCATCCATCTAAACATTCGCGTTTATAATAGTAAGATGAGATAATGAGAGATGACGATATGTTTTATACAGAGATTTGAATCTCAGAAACCAACGATTAGAAATAGTAACTACTCAGTCAGCGATATTTCTTATGTCGGTAGAGATCTTTAATAACATACCAATAGCTCAGATTACGGCGCCAAACCTCCGTGTGCGGTTCGAATCCGACAAAGATACCGGCGGACTATATTATTTTACTATAAACAAAACAAACTGGAAAATGCACTTGATATTAAATATTGCCTGCGAAGTATTTTTGATTTATAAATGCATGCGGTTAAGTCTACCTATGTAGGGCTACTTTTGAAGATCGATAAAATCCATTTACTTTCCTACCAGGAGCAAAGTTTTTTTGTAAAAACCAAAAAAAAAATTGAAAAAAAAATTACCATAATAAATGTTTTTTTCTTATATTATAAGGTGGCAAACAAGTAAGCGGCCACCTGAAATCGCTGAAATATCGAAGTGACTCTTTTCCATAGACATACGCAATTGCATATGCGTTGCCTATCTTTAATCGACGGCGGAGAGGATGCACAGAAAGAAAATATTTCTCCTTTTCCATGCATCCTCTCATCCGGAAAGTCCACTTACACTTCCCATCCTTTCTTTATAAGAAAAAGGGGTGGTAAGGGAAAGAGGATTAAATTAGGCCTCCGGGACGCACACTTATAAGACGAAACGCGGAATCGCTTCCACTTGACGCCTGTCTTCTGTGTGGTGAACATAATACAATTGTAATTTAAAATACGAGTAAGAAATATGTGCAAAAAAGAGTACAGACCAATAGATATTACAAAAATGTCTTCTTTAATAGTTCAGATTTCTTAGGAGAAAAAATAGTTTATCGCTAACTAGATTCCAGAGATACCTTCAAATAAACATCCACGTCATCTATCCATCTAAACATTCGCATTTATAATATTAGTAAGATTGTTATATCAAAGAAAATGGAGTATGTTTGGTATATGTTTTACACAGAGATATTTGTCTCAGAATCTAATAGACAACTCATAAATAAATATAACTTTATGATAAGAAAAATTAGCTTTTACTAAGGAGTCAATAAAAGAGTTGTATGTCCTCAGTATGTTGATGTCCACCGGTGTCTTATAACCAACGGATTTTACTTGGAAATATCGCCGTGGGAACACAATACCTTGACGTTTACCGCGAAACGATAAATCGTGCATACGACCACCCAATCGCGTAACAAACGACATGATTGTGAACAATTTGTGGGATAAATCTTACTAATATTAGAAATCCGAATGTTAGTAGGTACCTCCGGAATCGCTGCGTGGATCTCGCTGTTTGGCATAGATGTAAAACATAGTCTAGAAAAACACATCAGCTTACGAATTGGTTCCACGCGGATGGAGTCACAGGTGCTACTACCGATCTTACGAATATTATAAACGTGAACATTCGCAATAGATGGATTTTTATTAGAAGGTATCTTCAGAACGGCTACACGGATTTTGCTGAAATTTGACATAAATAAAGAACATAGTCTGGAAGAACACATAGGATTTTTTATTTCGCACGGACGAGGTCGCGTGCGATATGTTTATAAAGAGAATTTGGTCTCGGAAACCAACGGTTACAAAAGTGAATTTTATGTGATGCATAGATAAGGGAAATAATCTTCTATGTACATCTTAATCTGTCTATTGTAGGTAAACGACTGTAAACTTGCTTATTGAGAACTAGCTGTCGACCGCGACTCAGTCTGCGCAGAATTAAAATCTTAATTAGTAGCCTACGTGTTCTTCCAGACTATGTTCTACATTTATACCAAATTTTATCAAGATCCATGCAGCTGTTCTGGAAATTCCTTCTAAGAAATATCCATCGAAACTTTCATCTATGTAAAAGAAAGTCGTGTTAGTTACACTATTTATAACTTTACAACGGTTTTACCGATATGGCTGAAAATTGGTGAGGATGTCATTAGAGCCAGGAGACGGACATAGGATACTATTTATTCATTTTTCTTTCGAATTTAGTTACTAATATAAATGCGAATGTTTAGATGGATGTGATGTGGATGGATGGGTGGGTGGGCTACACTGATAAAGTGTTTTTATATATCCACGAGGACGGAGTCGCAGGCGACAGCTAGTTTATATTAGTAAAATGTCTATGGTCAAAGGTGACTTATCTGTTTTAGTACTGCTTATTTGCTATTTTTTACTATATAATATAAATACAAACAATATTAGGATTCAATTACTTATTGATAATGCTACCGTGAGATTTTGTTATCGTGTTACGAAAGATTGCTTACGACTTTGTGATTTTTTTTTTAATTACATCGACAGGAAATGTGGAAACCGTGTGAATGGACTGACTCTATGGCGTCCGCGGAGTTTGCACTTTTATTATCTATACCTTCTTACAACTTAATATGTTATTAATAATATATTGCCATTTCTTTCGTCTTCATTGGAAAAGCTGAGATAGCATGTTTTTCTAGCGATGTTTCGACAATCTAATTTCATTCATTTAATTTACGTTACTTAGTTTGCTCTCTTTTCGTTACTTAGTGAAAAGTTTGATCTTGAATCTTACTAATAGTATAAAAATTCGAGTATAAATTACTAAGAGTGAGCTGAGGGCCGCGTTCGCGAAATAATACCAGTACCACTCACCCTGATGAAGGGCCCCCGATGGGCTCGTAACTAGTTGATGCCGCCACCTGACGAATTTACGTTAGTGTTTTAGCCATTTTTATATAAGTTTAGTATAAATGCCAATGTTTAAATATAAGGTATGTCTGTAACCTATCAATTGATCTTGATGAAATTTGGAACATAGTCTGGAAGAACACATAGGCTACATGGAAGAACATATGGCGTGCGATAGCTATTAAGACCATAGTTCTGTAGTACCTCTATCAGTGAATTCACAGTCGTTCAAAATCAATAATTTTGATTAAACACAAGAAAATATTACTCGCCTGAGAGAAGGGGCACAAATGTTTTTGTATTTATGAATTAATAAATATTGTAGCTTAAGTTTTCTAGACTACGTTCTACATTTATGCTTAATTCCATTTTTTATCGTTTAAGATCTGTTCAGCAGTTCTGGAGTTACCTTATAACAAACATCCATCCATCTAAACATTCGTTGTATCAGATTATAAATATAAGTATATTCTCGAAAACAGTCTTCGATGTAAACAAAATAAATGCAACTTGCGTTATATTTAAACTTAAACGTAGAATAAAAATATTGTAAATTGCGCAATTTTTTGTTACGTTGTGCAAATTTTGCTGTATTTTGAAGCATTGTTTTCATTCGTTTCATATATCAAAGCGGTATTTGGACCGACAAAAGTTTGATTTGTATATGTACACTTTTAAATTCATATTATATAATACTAGCTGTAGCCCGTGACTCCGTGCGCGTGGGATTAAAAAATAGATAGTACTTGATTTTCAGACCTACTGAATATGCATATGAAATTTCATAAAAATCGGTAAAGTCGTTTTGCAGGTGGATGGTAACATTGTGACACGAGAATTTTTTTATATATTTAATCACTAACTTTGTTATGTCAGTAATAAGATTTCTGTGCCATCATTGCCTATTTGTGAATTAAAACAAAAAAAAAAACATAACAAACACATCGGAGAAAAATACGAATCAAACCAACTCCTTCACCAAAATCGGTTCAAACATACTAATCACCATTAACAACACTAGTTGGTTGTAATGTTGGTACCAGAAAAAATCGTAATCTTTTTAAATCGAAAAAACAAAATCACAGCTAAGAGTGTTTAATAACGCACCTGGCATAAAGGTGGAAATTCCATCGCCTAAAAAAAATTAAAAAACTCAAAAAACTTGAAAAACGACGTACCAAAGCTCCGCCCTAACATAAGCGATGCCGCCCCTTGTCTGTCCCTTTCGCACTTTACTATCTCTGTCTGTCGCTTTGAAATGACACCCACCTTTGTCATTTGACCCCGAAACGTCGGTGGGTGAGGGTGTCTAGGATATATCCAAGTGTCAAATTAAACACCCAGTGTGATTGTTGAATTAAAAAAGTGCTTTTGTGTAGAATTAATACGTTCAAGATAAATTTTGATTTAAGGTATGAATATTTAAATTGGGCTTTTCAAGTTTTTTACTCCGTCATATTTGAATTTAGAATATTTTTGTTTTTTTTTGTTATAATTCCATTTTAATTAATAATTTAATTTAATAAAATATCAATAACTCTAATTACATTATAATCTAATTGTAATTTTTTAATTTGACTTCTACGAAATATCTACCAAATATTATTTTATTTCATTGACGATTTAAAAGCTAAAAAGTTTATTATCTACTCCTTAATTCTTTTTTTTTTTATCTTTTTAAAAAATGGTGCGTACTTAGTACGCATCTTTTCGATACGGAACTACCGAAAGGTTACTGAAAATCGTCTATTCTCTGAGAGAAAGCAAATTGCAATTTTAAAGCCTAGCCTTTTAGTTTTATAACTTAGACTTAGTAATTATCCTTCGCGCTGCTGCTCCTTAGTTTCGTATAAACATACGTACATAAAGCCTAAAATTTACCTGAAATTCTTAAAATAACTACATAGAAAAAGGTTTGTTTTTATACAGATACTGAATATTATATTTCAAAGATTTCTTAAAGGGAATGCATATTGACTATCATGAAATGTAAACTTTCATCATCAGCTCACTATACGTCCCCACCGAGGAGCTCGGAGCCTACCCTAAGTTATGGGGGATTAGGCCGTTGTCAACCACGCTGGCCAAGTGCGGGTTGGTTGACTTCACACATATCTTTGAATTTCTTCTCAGATATGTGCAGGTTGTAAATTTTAATCAGATTTAATAAAACAAAAGACGTACTAAAAATAATTTTATGCTTGTTTTTTTGTAGATTTTTCTCTCTAATTAGCCATTAGGGGAAGTTATAAGTGTTGATTAGATTAGTCTATTTCGTACTGGCTGTAGTCAGCAACTTTGTCATCACGGAATTAAAAAAAATGAGCCTAATTTACTCCCGCGTACATCAGCTATCTTCCCGATAGTCCCATCAGAATCGGTCTACCAGTTTCAAAGATTACACGGAACAAACACGGCCTTGCGAATAGATATCTTGGTATGGACATGTTATAAGATGGGAAGAATCGTATGTGATAAGGAGGTTTTTTAATTATGTGGAGAAGTATGCAGGGGTAGGTATAGAAATAAATCCCCCGAGAGGGAGCTGCCTCAGCAGCTGACGCAGACGGGGTCGCGGACGAAAGCGAAAGCGTGCCCGTGTCCCCGTCCCGATGCGTTGGAGGAACAGAGAGGTTTAGTGGGTATGCCTCCGTGATGGAGGAGAATCCCACATAACTACCGCGTCCCCCCCGGGGCGCGCAGTATGCATAAAGCATTCCTCTCTGGGAAAAAAAGGTATAGAAATAAATGGATGGATTACGCGAAAGTTGACAATAAAGACTGAGTGAGATGACTGAAGATAGATTAATCTATAAGACAACGCTCTAATGCGTTGACCATACGTTAGTGGGATAACGTAAACGGGGTGATTGGAATAAGGTGTAGTAATTTCCATTGATTGTGTCCACCCTCTTTAGAATAAAAAGCGTGACCTAATTGCGCGCGGTTGTTTGCGCCGAAACCTCCGGTCCGTGTCGCGTTATGTTATGAAAACAAATCGAATTATTTTTACTCGACCGCATGAAATTTTTTAAACGTCCCGCAATGGATAGCTCACATCCGGTGCGTTGGAAGTAAATAAAAATTGTTGACAATATTCTAAAATATTTATACGATTTATTGGAGACTAACTGTCTTCCGTGACACCGTCTGTGCGGTATTAAAAAAAACTTAGTAGCCTATGTGTTCTTCCAAACTATGTTTTCATTTATACCAAATTTCAGCGAGACCCGAGTCGTTCTGGAGATACATTCTACCAAACATCCATCCATCTACACATTCGCATTCGTAATATTAGCAAGAAGTAAGATTTATTTGTTGCTGTTGTTGTTGATTTGGTGTTAAGAGATTGATTGACAATATGTAAACATTTTTTCGAATCATTATTTTAGTTGTGTTTATATTTTAGCGTTATGTAGAGACATAACAGAAGTTTTAGAGTCGAGTTTTGTGATCGACTTCAAAAAGGAGATTGTGAAGTTCGATCGTTTTTTTATGTATGTACACAGACTACGCGGAATTTTATAATCCAATTTACGTGGTTCTTCTCTAGTTTAATATCGAATCGTTGACATTTAGTCCCATTAAAACTATATCCTAGGATTTTAATACTCATTTTGACTAACTGAGTCTTACTTCGGCAAACTATGATAACATGAACAGTCAGATTTTTTTTTTATCATAAGGTGGCAAACGAGCGAGCGGCTGAAATCGCTGAAAAAGCGAAGTGACCGTTGCCCATAAACATACGCAATTGCAAATGCGTTACCTACCTTTAATCGACGAAGGAGAGGATGCACAGAAAGAAAATATTTTCCTTTTCCATGCATCCTCTCATCCGGAAAATCCACTTCCACTTCCCATCCTTTCCTTATAAGAAAAGGGGATGGTAAGGGAAAGAGGACTAAATTAGGCCTCCGGGACGTACACTCATCAGACGAAACGCGGAATTGCTTCCCCTTGACGCCTGTCTTCTGTGTGGTCGTGGTATTTCACCGGGCGAGCCGGGCCAATTAGTGCGAATATTTTAAAGCGGGCTCTACCACTATTCAACATATCATAATCATATTGGATTAATTTTAATTTACTTTGTTACAGGTACAAATATTCTAATGAAATCAACTAACATGGAGTCCTGTTCGGACCGTTTGAGTCCTTGCAGTGATCTGACAAGCGAATCGGAAACCTCTCTCCCGCCATTTCCTTACGACAATCAAATTAACAATTACTACACGCAAACAGAAGTTGGTGGAAAACAATTATATTCATGCAAACAAAAAAACGATGAGAAAAAAGACTATATACAAGATAGTAACAAATTATTTGAAAACTATTTGACCGGAAAGAAACATTTGATATTTGACGTCAAATTACCATCGACACATGAAAACTTTTTTTCGCAAATCGAAGGCGAAGATCGGACGCGTTCGGGTTATTTCAACGAAATGCAGAATACAAAAAGTTGCGTTCAAAATGAGAATAATATAAATATGTCGGACGTAGAAGTTGCGCCGGCGGTTAATTTTGAAAATGTTAATAATATTTTAAATGATAGAGAGCGAGTTCCGCCATCTTTTTTCGCTGAGAATGAAGATAATAATATGGGTGGTTGTTTTAGTTTTAATTCTGAACAAGTGCAGTGCGTGTGTGAGGCGTTACAACAAAGAGGTGATATAGAAAAATTGGCAGCATTTTTATGGAGTTTGCCGCCTAATGAACTACTACGAGGAAATGATACTGTATTGAGGTATTTTATGATTTTAACGTATTTTATTGTAATGCATTATTAATTTAGTATCCATTATCATTTGTGAGTTAAAAAAGATTGGATAAAAGGCAAATAAAGGAGAAAAAAGTACTAAATACACCTAAATACCGGTTTATGTCACCGAAATCGTAGTTCCCAGCTGAACATCACATGTAACTGGCATAAAGCACAATAACAAAGCACTATTCTGTTGTTATAACAGATAATTTTAAAGAATATCGTTGTCGATTCATTTGACGTCGTTATAACCGGTTTATTCGTTAGTTATTTCTATAACTTCCATAAATATTAATACTATAATAAATGTAAATGTATTTTAGAGCACGTGCTTTAGTAGCATACCATAGAGGTGTATTTCAAGAGCTCTATGCGATCCTGGAGTCACACACTTTCTCACCGAGACACCACTCAGGTCTACAAGATTTATGGTACAAAGCTCATTATAAAGAAGCGCAGAAAGTACGCGGACGACCTTTAGGTATGTTATAGTCTGAAGACCATATTTTTTCATCATTCGGTAAAAAACGAATGAGTTGCCGTTGCCCATAAACATACGCAATTGCAGATGAACAGAAGATGCACAGGATTAAAGTGGGCCATGTGAACTCTGAGGGTCAAAGGGTGATCTCACGGAGGTATACAATTACGGGATGAAATTAAGGGTTTTTCTTTCGAAAAATGTATTAAAATATGATATTCCCAAACAGGAAAATATTACATGTCGAGAATAGGAATCTGTGTTGAATATTAAGTTAGATCGCAGAAGGGACATAGCAAACTTAATTTATGTTTTTTTTTTAAATACTTTATAGTTTGAATATGATATTTTGTTTTTTTCTAAAGGTGCAGTTGACAAATATAGATTAAGAAAAAAGTATCCACTGCCGAAGACGATATGGGACGGCGAGGAAACCGTTTATTGTTTCAAAGAGAAAAGTCGGAACGCGTTGAAAGATTGCTATTATAGAAATAGGTAAGAAAACCATTTAAAAAGCGCTTATATACAAACTTAAATACAAAATATAAATTTTATTAAAATAATGTTAAGATACATGCGTAATTAATATGATAAATTACTGAAATCTACTTACTACTACTTATTATTATTATGCTTCATTATTTTTATATTTACTTCCAAAGTAAAGGAAGTTTAAAGGAGACCCTAAAGAATTGTGAGTGCGCAATAAAACATTAAGTAGGTCAACGCTGAAAACACTATTTTATTAATATTATAAATGCGAATGTTTGGATAGATGGATGTTTGTTAGAAGGTATCTCCGGAACGGTATCTCGCTGAAATTTGGAGAAGAATCTAGATTTAGAACATAATCTGGAAGAACACAGAGGCTACTTATTAAGTTTTTTTTAGCTATTAATGACGAAATTGCATATCAGGGCATAAGATTTATATAATTTTAGATATCCAACACCTGATGAGAAGAAAGCTCTCGCTGCGAAGACAGGTCTGACCCTCACACAGGTATCAAACTGGTTCAAGAATCGACGTCAGAGGGACAGGACTCCGCAACAACCAAATAGACCGTGAGTTAACTTTGATTTTTAATAGATAGAACTGAAGGTCATCATCAAAATGTATATGAGATTTGTATAAGCATATAGTACAACGACAAATGTTATGAATTTTAAGATATTTTGTAGATGATGTTACGAAAAATCGTATCGCAAATATTCGTGATAAACCCTCTATGTGTTGTTACATATCAATTTTTAACCCGCGAAAAATGCCCGAATTTGTTAAGTACAACGTAAATTTTTGGCCTAGTCCATTTATCTATAGTCAAAAATTCTCCACGTTAATAGTACCGAATTAAGTCGGTAATATAGAAAATTAATCAGGGAACTTATCTAACCCGGTTTTGTACAAAAATTAAGTACAGCACATAGACGTTTTCCGTCATGTCGTGAGTCACAATATCCTGACTTGTCAGAGCTGCCTTGATGTATTTTGTTTTGTGTTCTATTATCCAAATACATTTAACATATGTTCTGATAGACCTAACACCGATAACAATGCCTCTCTCACCGGGCCAGATAAATTTGTCGCACTGTAATCGGAGTCGTACCTTGTCAATGTCATAAATTTGGCCATAAACTAAATATTATTTTTATTTCGTATGAGCGGCCCTTTGTTTCCGATACGGTTTGATTTGTTTGTTACCGTCTCAAGGTTTTCGACAATCGCGCACTCTGTTAGAACTTAAAAGCTGACAGTATTATTGATTTATGTATATAGTCTTAAACAATTGATAAAAGAAAACACTTACTGCCACATATAGTCGTGTAAACGATACTTAAGCTTCTCCTTAATATAGATTTCTTACATTACAATTCTACACTAAAAGGTGCCTTAAATTAATAAATGTTAAAAAGATAATATTTTCCCGCTAACAACATATTGCGGTAACTGGCATTTTATATTTATAATTAAACGTTACTTAATAATTATAAGCATTTAGAAAAAGACAAAAAAAACTTGTATGGTCCATGGGCGTTTGTCTTCGCGCCATAATGTGACAGTTTCGATAAAAAATCAATCACCGGCCAGCATGTGTGTTTAACGCTTAGGGTGACCATCGTAAAAATAATTAAATTAATTTTTTTTAATAAATAGTAATATAAAATAAAATGGGTAATTATTTATTTAATACAAGGTTTATATTGATGAAGTTAGTATTTTTTTTTCTCTGGTTTTATCACTTTTCTAAGAAATTAAATTGACGTATATTGCTTTAGTTTAAAATTATTGAAGTGGCGTAAATAACCAAAGAGGTTAATGGCTACAGTACAAAAAAAATCATGATTTTTAAAATTAGATTAGGTAAAGAAAATCCGCGCTTTTGAAAACGATAGTCACCCTACTTCTCTTTTGCATGCATTGTTTCAAATGGTTTAAAGGACCCTCATTACGTCTCATTAATCAATCGGACATAGATATGGTGTAGCAAATGCACATGTGTCCTTAGAACAAACGGTCAGTGGGTTGCCATTGTGCATAAGAATAATGATTTTAGGAATACGCTTTTATGTCATTTAGTAAAAAAAAAAATTCAACCGCCGCAAGTGTTAACTTTGCCCTTTACGACTTTTTTTTCCTTAATTTACATATATTTTATATTAGATTTAAATGAAATGAATTGATATGAGATGTGACATTCCTGCATTTTTTTTTACTTATACGTGCGTTGGACTCATTTTAGCTGACGCAAATCGATTTTCGAAGGAAAAATACAGGCAGCTTTTTATTTACTCTTTGAACGTCATTGTTTTGGGTATCGCTCGTATGTTTTTTTTTGCAAAACGTGAGGTCAGGCTGACGACAAAATTTGGGTTACACGAATAGAAAACCCGATTTAAAACTTTAACAACATGGATTTAAGAATTAGAATTGACTGTAACGTTATATTATTGTATTTATGGCGACTCTAGCTGCGAGGTATACGTGATTTTAATTTAGGACTATTATTATTAAATTCCTGTGTTAAGCCGGGAATTTTTATAATAGTTTCTTCGATGGTGTGTTTGTTCAAATTCAAACAGATAATTTCAAGTGTCCTGTGTAAAAAATCTTATCTCGCAGTGAAGAAGTTCCCATTTTTCAAATCGATTTTAACAAATCGATTTATTTTTCATAACTGTTTTTTGTTACAGGGAAATGTTAGTGCCTGCTCAGTACGTGGGGCCACAAGGAGGTTTGTCACAGACTTTCCTACAAAATCCATATTATCACAAGCTGCAAGACGCATCTCATTATCTTCATGGCGGTGCATCCTGAATGTTACCTACATTGAATTTGTTAACCTCAAAGATGTAATTAAATTATATTTTTTTAGTTATGATTTAGTAGAGAAAATATTTCCGTTCCTAAACGACCAAAAACTTGTACTTTAATATCATATTTCTTTTATTTGTTTTATTGCGTACTCAATTAAGATGCCTAAAAGTTTGAAATAATTTAATGATGATATTGATACTGAAATATCTCTCCGTATTTTTACAACGTAGATTCTTTGTAGTTAAGGAACAGTGCATTAAAATGCAATTTCTATTTAAAATTTTGTCAAAACATGATTGCGAACTAATTATACATAGTTTTCCTTATACACTTAATTTCATTAAACAGATAGTCAATAGTTCCATTACTGCAATTAAAAAAAAATCAGATACCAAAAATATCAAGTTTCCTGGACTTGTTATAACGTTAAAAGTCTGGGTATAACTCTATTATGTAAAATATGAGATTTATTTTGGAAGATTAAATTTTGAGTGCGGTTATCTTAAGTTATTTCCTATACGTAAAGTTTTCATTTATACGAAAATATTTTAGACTACAGTGAGGCTTTCTTTGTTAAGATATACATATATCTATGTAAATATAATGGTGCTCTTATGTTAAAATGATTGTCTAGTCTACAGATGGATTAAAACATTACAAAAAATGCTGTTTTATTTATTGGTACTTTTTCTACATTTTATGTAGAGCTATTTGGAATTATAAAGAAATAAACCAATGGTTAAAGGCGCACTTTTATTTTAATAAAAAAAAATCGTTTGAAAATCGAAAAAATCGAATGAATATGTTAATGTGCTGGCATCGCCGTTCCTTAAATGTCACTGTCAGATATCAGTTGTCAAAAATCATAATATTTTGTCGCCCACAATTTTCTTTGTGATCTCTTCTTATTATTTTATTTAAAATTCGCAAAGAAAATAATAACTTATTTGGCATCATTTTGCCAAATGCGAATAAGTGTGTACAATTTTTCCTCGTCTTGATTAATTACTTATATTTTACTGTAATACATTTTGATGACGTAAAAGTGAAAGAAGATTAAAATAATGAGTGACTCCAAATCTTATGTAAATTTCTCATGCCAGCGTTGCCTACAGCCTCTGAAGTTAGATGAATCCTTGAATAATCTTGGTGAACATACCATAGCAGATTTAACACTTCAAATAAGAAGAAATAATGAGGTGGATTTAGATTTACAATCTGCGAGCTTGGAGCACTATGTACCACCTTTTCGTATGTCAGAATCAGGTAATTTTTGTATTTAAGCAAACAAATAATATTACAAAAACGTATATAAACCTTCGAAAAGAAAAATTATATGAATTCTTGATCTGGTATATTTAAGATATCTATGTAGACTTCTCATTAAATTACGCAATAATGTTTTTGGCCTTAATATTAATTTAACATTTTTTTAACAACAAAGTGTGACTTGTTTGGTCTTACATTGATTCTTACAACTACAAAGTAATTTTCAATTTAAAAATTAAATACAACTAAATTTCCAATTTATAGGTAATGGAGCCAATGGATTCATGGTCATATCAGATGGCTGGGAAACAACTTCCTTAGGTCATCAGTTACATGTAAAAGCTACATTATTTGATTTACTATCAAACAATTCGGACGTTGATCATCCACTTTGCGATGAATGTACAGATACACTACTAGAACTAATGGACAATCAGTTACGTTTAACAGAAGCTGAATGGAAAGATTACAATGATTATTTAAAAAAACTAGAAGATGATAAAGAAGATTTGAATTTAGAAGGCCTAGAAAAAGAATTAGAAGATTGGAAGCAAGAACAGAATAGGTTATTAGAAGAATTATCAGCTTTACAAAAAGAAGAGAAAGCTATGAAAGAAGAAATTGATGTACAAGAGAAAGAGAAAGAAAGGTTAGAGAAAGAACAAGATGTATATTGGAGGGAATACACAAAATATCGGAAAGATTTAATGACAACTGAAGATCAAATGAAGTTTTACGAATGTCAGTTATCTTATACACAATCACAATTAGAAAAACTTAAAAAAACCAATGTCTTTAAAGCAACATTTCATATATCTGATTCCGGTCAATTTGGTATTATAAACAACTTTAGGTTAGGAAGATTACCCACTGCACCCGTAGATTGGTCGGAAATAAATGCAGCATGGGGACAAACTGTTCTACTCCTGTCTTCTTTAGCAAGGAAAATCAATTTCTGTTTCCAAAGGTACCGTTTGGTACCATTCGGTAACCATTCTTATATTGAAGTGTTGGAGGATCAAAAAGTTTTACCGTTGTACGGTTCCGGAGGTTTCAGATTCTTATGGGATACTAAATTTGATGCGGCAATGGTAGCCTTCTTAGATTGCTTGCAGCAATTTAAAGAACAGGTTGAAAAGGGCAACACTGGGTTCTGTTTACCGTATAGGATAGATAAAGGTAAAATAGAAGACACAGCGTCTCCACCGCATGCTTATTCTATCAAAATTCAATTTAATTCAGAAGAACATTGGACAAAGGCTTTAAAATATATGTTGACGAATTTAAAATGGGCGTTAACTTGGATTTCATCACAATTCAGTGAAGATAAAACTGATGAACACTAATTTTATAACCAACTGTCGCCCGCGACTCTGTCCGTGCGGGATTAAAATATAGATAGTAGCAAATTCTCAGACCTACTGAATATGTATATAAAATTTCATAAAATCAGTCAAGCCGTTCTGGAAGAGTATGGTAACTAAGATTGTGACGAGAATCTTACTAATATTATAAATGTGAATGTTTACATGGATGGATGTTTGTTTGAAGTTATCTCCAGAAGGGCTGAGTGGATCTTGATGAAATTTGGTATACATATAGAACATAGTCTGGAAGAACACATAGGCTACTATTTATGTTTTGTAAATACTGCGCGGACGGAGTCGCGGGCGACAGCTAGTGTGCATATAAAATTTTATAAAAATCAGTGAAGCCATTTCGGAGAAGTAACTAAAATTGTTACATGAGAATTTTATATATCAAATGTCACATCAAGTAAAAGAATGTATATATGTCCCATATTTGAACTTTGAATTTTTATCTAAAATTCAAAGTTCAAATATACAATCACCTACTACAATTCTGTTCTTATTCCCTTGTAAAGTTTTTATATAAAAAATCTTAATACTAATTAATAATTCTCTGTGTATTTGATATTTTAATGTTTGTAACCGAGTTGTAATTTTTATTGTCTCAATTAACGGCTTCCAGTAATTTGTCAAAGCACACTGGACCTATACTTAAATTCAAGGTTATCTAAAAATATTGCCTGTCATATTAGAATAGGAAAATAATATATTTTTTTCTGTAAAATAGTGATTTGTAGTCAAAAATAAATATCTTATATATAATGGTGCTTTCTGTGATATTATTATTATTGTTTAAAAATTAACTTTTCACCGTTGATTTTTGAGTGGAAAATCTCTGTATTAAACATATCGTCATCCCTGTCGTTATCTTTAAGAAAACAGAGATAACAATAGGTTTTAAACAAGGGTTTTGGTCTTAGAAACCCACGGTTAGATTTATGTTAGACACATGGCAAATAATGGTTTATTGTTTTGCTTTTTCAAGCTTAATTTATTGAAGATTATGAAAAATGTGATGTAAACGTTCATTATAACTTAATATTATTTGCAAATAAAAATTATGCTATATGAAGGTTTTACTTTATAAAAAAAATCTTACATCTTTTCTACTTTTATATTATTATTTATGGGAATAATCGGTGGAACTAAATCATAAAATTACCGAAAATACGTATATTTTATTTAAAAAAGGGACCCATTCCCCAAAAAACAAGCGCTAAATATGTTCTAGAAGCGACATCTATAGTAAATTACGAAGAACTAAGAGTTCAACTATTTCTTCTAGTATAAAGATTTAATTATAGAGGGCGCTGATGACATATTTTATATTAGTCAATAAGAATCTCGAACAAAATGTGTTTATTCAGTCTTTCAAATAATTTGTAGTAATATAAAACTATTGTAGTAATTAAAAAAAATCTTAAAGAATAAAAAATAACTGTGTGTGATAAAGATTTGCCATTGTCGTATTAAATATTTTTTTTAATAAAATTGTTGCCATCTCAAAAAATGCCGTTATATGGCGGGGAGTTTTTTTTTCTGGGCAACACGAAATTAAATGTCAAGGCAATGTTAATAAGAAGAATTTCTACTCATTACTGTACTCTGTTGGCCGGTAATAAGACTTCCTTAGTGATTAATTAATCTTATCCCTGTCTCATCCTACAGGATAATAAAGGTTGTTACGTAAACATCTTTGTTACATTAATGATACAGATTAAATTGATAAATTGTATGTCATTTAAATACGTAATATAACATAACAAGGATAAATTATGTCCCTAATTATCACACAACTGACTCAGTAGGGCAATAATGTATGTTTTTACTAGCCGCCGCCCGTGGAAAAAAATATTCGTATGCTAAGTGTTCCTCAAAACTATGTTCTACATCTGTACTTAACTTCAGTGAAATCCGTTGAGTCGTTCCGGAGATAATTTCTAATATCCATCCATACATCCAAACGTTCGCATTTATAATATTAGTATGATGTATGAGGATTTGTGTGTCTGGAGGCTTAACGGTTGAACTGATTTGGAATAGTGAGGTGTTATTAGATGAGCCATCCTCGTGTATTAGGGACAAGGCTTTCTGATTTTTGTTTGATATTAAATTATTTAATATCGTTGCTTGGTAAAACCTTGAATTAATTTAGATTTTTTTTTGAATACTAAACTTAGGTAACACGTACTTTGAATTATGAATTATGACAAAAGTTGTCGAAACTTCTAACCTTCAAAAGTTCTTGTGGTTTCCTAAACTTTTGAAATATCGTGTTAATTATCTATAAGGGCGTATATTTGTTTGAGAAATTGGAGGTAAATAATAAAGTTTTCACATTGCGATGTAACAGTAACGTTTCTTTTCATGACTTCATCACTTCTTTTACTCTAAATTTTTTTTTTTACAAAATAACTTTTTGCGTCAATTGCCAACTTGTTAATTGTAGGTCTTAAATAATATTAATTATAATACATTTAATATGTTAAAAGACATTACAACATTTACAATATAATTTAAAACGCCATTAAATACAACTAAGGATACGAAAATCTCCTGGAAATACAAAAAAAAAATCAAACAAAAAATATAAAAAAGTGTTGCAATGCAGAACATATAGGACCTATGTTCAGTTGTATCTTTATTAACACTTGGGAGTAAAAATAATGAGTACTAAGTCCCTTGTTCATTTTATAAGTAATGTATATTTTTTTTTACATAACGATATAAGATTTTTTTTTTCGTAACCCAATTCTTCCCAACAATTTGTCCGTTGCCCTGTACATTTGCATTTATATTAAAAAGTTCCGGCTGCTGCGACTAATGCTTACATCGGGGTAAAGTAATGAATAAAACAAAAATTATACGGATAGAGACGTTATATTATTCCTTTCTTCCCCTTTCGAGTAATATTCTATCGTAAATTTTGCTCTTGAAATTTTCTCAAACTAAAATACAGACGAATATTTCGAAAAAAAAAACGTTAGGTTAGGTTAGTTTTTTTGCATGATTAGTGAATGAAAAAAGAAAAAATCGTTGCTTATATCAAACTAAAAAAAAAACAACAAATTAATTAAGTCCCTGATATGACTTTCAATTTTTTTTCTACTAAAATTACTACATGACGATTTTTTAAATTTATGTTACCATTTGTATGTTCGTTAAAAAAAAAATAACGCTTTTTTTTTTTAATTTTTTGCTTTTTTATTTCAAGAAAATATCAAATATATTTCTTGACATCCAAAAAATCCTGTATAAAACATACATCTAACCTTACGTTACATCCGAGCACACAAAGGGTCTGCTCGTAAGCCTTTGTCTAATTTACGACGCCCACGGCCTATTGTATTAGAGAGTGAGGGCGAAATGCCAGACCCCTGGTTTTATCTCTGATAACGAAAACTTAACGCATTTCTACATTTTGAGGTGTACGTACAATTGGTAGAGACACATCTTATATAAAATTCTCGTGTCACAATTTTCGTTCCCATACTCCTCCGAAACGGCTAGACCGATTCTCATGATATTTTGTGAGCATATTGAGTAGGTCTGAGAATCGGCCAACATCTATTTTTAATGCCGCGCGGACGGAGTCGCGGGCGACAGCTAGTATTAATATAGAAGACATTAAGGACCAAACCGAATGTATAAATATATAGTATACTAGCCAACTAGTCCACGAGGAATAAAAAAAACTTAATAAGTAGCTTATGTCTTCTTCCAGACTATGTTCTAAATCTATACCAAATTTCATCGAGATCCGTTCAGCCGTTCTAGAGATATTTTCAAACAAACATCCATCCATCCATCCAAACATTTGCATTTATATCATTAGTAAGAAGTAAGATATAGAGTCCGTTTACAGGGTGTTGAGGACAGCGGATCATTTTTTACCTCAAATAAACTTGAGCTTTCTACGCTTGTAACAAGGTTCAATTTTACTTTTTACATCTTAACTTTTTAATAGCAATAAAGACGTGAAAAGTAAAATAGAACCATAAATATATTAATGCACTTATGTTAAAGTAAAAAAATGTTTTTTCAACAAAATCTCCAAAATTATTGCATTTACGAGATTAGGATTTCAAGAAACTAATGTCTCATCACATCTCCTTCATTAATATCTTTAAGTCGTATTTTTTTAGAAAAGAAAGCAATTTATATTTGTCAAATATTTTTCCAGTCACGTTTTTCCAGAATATTGACCTTTGATCGTCGGATTTTCTTTGTCCTGACTAGATATAAGGAATATTAGAAGGAATGGTTTTGACAAGATCAATTGATGAGGGTTTTTCCAAATGTCTTACCACGCTGGAAAGCGTAATGAGATCTTATTGTGACAATAAAAAGGAATGTAACTTTTATTTTTTACAACTAATTAACAAGTGACAGAAAAATATATATTTTTTAAATGTATAATAACATTTTTTTTTAATTTTATGAAAAAAAAATTAAAGAAAATTTTTTTATTTATGTATTAAAATTAATTTACAATTTATGTCTAAACTTCAGGATATTTGTTGACGAAATACAATTCATCGTAGTTACCAAACCATTGTTCATAATCTTTGAACAGGAACTGAAAAATATAATTTAAATATTTGCTTTTAATATAAACAATCTTACTAATATATTACTAATATTATAAATGCGAATGTTTACATGGATGTATGTTTGTATTTATCTCCAGAACGGCTGAACGGATCATGATGCAATTTGGTATACATATGGAATATAGTATGGAAGAACACATAGGCTACTTATTATGTTTTTTAATTCTACGCGGGCGACCGCTAGTAAAGTATAATAATAAAAAAAAACTTTTGAAGTTTTTTTTAATGATTTTTTAGAAATGTAGATGGCGTTGTTGCTATATTTTCTAATTTTTATTTAATTACAGAAGTCCGTATCTATGTTTTATACTCACAGGTAAATCAGGCTGGAGTTAGAAAATCAAATGAGTTTATTAATATAAAAAAAAAATTAAAGCTAAGAATACATTGTTAGGTAAGACTGTAATTAAGCCTTAGTGTAGATTAAATGGTGAAATAGGTGTTAAAGTTTAATATTGCTATTACACTTACAATGAATTTTGAAGTTTGAGGCTAAAACAACGAAAAAAAAATATAATTCGATGCGAATAAATGCCAAAAGATAAATGGCACAATAGACTTAGGTTTAAGGAAAAAAGGATTTTAAAAGTTAACCCTTTAGCTTTGACAGTTAACTAGAAACTAATTATAAATTAAGAAAACAGTAAAAGATTTTTCCTACATTTAAAAGAAGGTCTGAAATAACGCGTGAGCGAGGAATTCTTGCGACTAACGCAGAGGGCGGGTTACAAAGTTTTTTGCGTCAACAGCTACGTGGAACTCATTGTTGCTAGAGTAGGATTGGACTGTCCAGTGCTGGCCATGTGGACACGTCTACATGTGCCCTGAAGAATTTTGTTTTATTTTTTTTTGAATTTAAATTGGTATTTTTTGTTTTGTTTCGACCATGTGTGTGAATAAAAGATTTATTATTATTGAGAATTATATTTTAAATGTAATAAATATACTTACATAAGGACGATATTGCTGTAAGAGTTGTAATAAAATAATAAGTAAACAATAACTAAACTACGGTCGTACTAAGGTCGACACTTTGATTTTTAATTTTCAAATGTGTCGTTGTTTTTTTTTTAACTTTTTATGATTTTTTTTTTCGAAATTTCTTTTTTAAGTTATAGAAATATTATATAATACCTGATCATTGTAAATTGAAGGATGAATCTGTTTATTTCGGCCATGTTTCTTGTGAGAATTTTCATAAGGATTCTACGAAAATTGTTATAAAAGTAATTAAAATATTACTAATTGACTTATAAAAGAATTGAAATACTTAATATTAGTGTATACTTAGTTATGTAAACTTACATAAGGACTTTTTACCATTGGCTGTAAAATAAATAGATCTTAGAGAAAGATTTTGAAGCGAAAAAATAAAGAATAAAAATGTGAACATAGCAAAATGAAAAAAAAAAGTCTTTAGTACGTTAATCCTTTATAAGTAAGAGGCGATATTTTCACCATCATGATTTTTATTTTTTTATCACCAAAATTCGCACTGTGCATAGCACCTTGTTTCAGTGATTTTCATAAAAAATAAAATTAGATTTATCAATTATCATAAACATATGACCGTTAAAGGGTTAAGTTTTACTTTTTTTTATATCATAAGGTGGCAAACGAGCGAGCGGCCATCTGAAATCGCTGAAGTAGCGAAGTGACCGTTGCCTATATACATACGCAATTGCATATGCGTTGCCTACCTTTAATCGACGGAGGAGAAGATGCACAGAAAGAAAATATTTTCCCTTCCCATGCATCCTCTCATCCGGAAAGTCCACTTCCACTTCCCATCCTTACTTATAAGAAAAAGTGTGGGAAGGGAAAAATGACTAAATTAGGCCTTCGGGACGCACACTCATCAGACGAAACGCGGAATTGCTTCCACTTCACGCCTGTCTTCTGTGTGGTCATGGTATTTCACCGGGCGAGCCTGGACAATTCGTGCGAAGATGTTACGGGCTCTACCACTGTTAAAACTTACTTTTTTAATTATTAATTCGTGTTTTTTTGTTTAAAAAATATACACAAAACAAACAAATCATTCAATTGCCAGTACTAAATTGTTATGTTTATTTTTAATTAATTTATGTACTTACGTACGGATGATTTACTCTTGACTGTAACTACAGAAAATGATTTGTAAATATTATTCATAAATATACCAATTTGTTTTTCATTTTCCGATTTACATATGTACATTTATCCGACGTTCTTACGGTGAAGGAAAACATCGTGATGCTGCACATATCTGAGAAGAAATTCAATGATATGTGTGATGTCAACCCGCACTGGGTCAGCGTGGTTGACTATGGCCTGGTCACCTGTTTGGGTAGGCTCCGAGCATCTCAGTGGGGATCTGAAGATTCATAAACATTTTTTTTTCACTTCAAATGTATGTATAGTCACTTCAAATTGTACAGACTATTTTTTAAATTATTACAATATAAGAAATCTTATATAAAATTCATCATTTAAATTATAGGTTCATGGAAGCTTAATATTACTGTAAACATTTAATTTAGTAAGAAAAGTAATAAAATTAATCGACGAATTGACCTTGCGAAAAGCAAAGAAAGTTAATTGAAAAAAAAAGAACAAACAGACGTTTCTTAATACCAGCCCACACGAATAAAGATTTATTATTAACTAGCTGTTGCTGGCGACTTTGTTATCATCATCAGCTCACTGTATGTCCCCACCGAGGGGCTCGGAGCCTACCCTAAGTTAAGGGTGATTAGGCCATAGTCAACCACGCTAGCCAAGTGCGGGTTGGTTGACTTCACACATATCTTTGAATTTCTTCTCAGATATGTGCAGGTTGTATCACGATGTTTTCCTTCACCGTTAGAACGTCGAAAAAAACCACATTGGTACATGGCGGAATTCGAACCCAGAACCTGCAGATTGCAAGTCAAGTGCTTGACCCCTGAGCCATCGATAAGCCACGAAAGATAATAAAAAACCTATGTTACACACACTTCAACTACCTTCCAGTCACATTAATATCCGTCCAGACGTTTTGGAGATTACACGGAACGAACGCGTACTTACGAACAAACAGACAGACAAATAAAAATGTTAAAAAAGTATATGTACATAAATGAATTTGTAATTTTTACATTCATCATCATATTCAGCCCTAATTCGTCTACTGCTGAACGTAGGCCCCATCGATTGCCACAATACCTGTGCTGCCAGCATCCAGTGCACTCCCGCAATATTGACCAGGTCATCGGTCCATTGTGGGAGAGGTCAACATTTTAACATTACAGCCATACAAATTTTAATTATCTGTTAAGAAGTATAATTTGATACTAATATAAACAGGAATATGTATTTTTGTATGTAACGTGTAAACTCAAAAACTACTGGACCGATTTCAAAAATTCCTTTGTCATTAGAAAGCTATATCATCATAGAGTAACATAGCGTATATTCATTACTAGAAAAAGCTTTTTTTTAGCTATAATCTAGAATTTAAATAAAAGCTAATACCTGTTTCTTTTTCAGTCCAGAAAGTTTTGCGTTTCGATAATGCTTCTTCACGTGGGGAGCATCATAATTATTCTGTGATATAAAATCAATTAAAAAATAGTAATTAAATATAAGTAGAATTTCAAATGTTTTTTTTTAAACATTTTGCAGACAACTAACTCCGGATACGATATAGATTTGAATTATTACTTCACTCACAAACATTGTCAAGCCGTTAATGCAGTTCCGTCGCCCTGGGCGAGATTTTTGTGACGCCTTTTTGGTGTCGAGAGAAACCTTGCAAAAATACGGTATCTTTGAGAGCACTGTGGGCGCCAGGGTTTGCTATTCCTTTCCTCTTTACGCGCCCTGGGCGGTCACATCTCGCTCTACTCTAACGCTACTGCTAAACTGTCTTGTTACCGGTAAGTAACAAAAGCATTAGTATTTTTTTCCTATATTTTCGTGAAATACTGACCACTTGATTGGGGTCATAACATCGGCCGTGTAGTCCTGTGTACGTACATACTGTATTTTGGTTGTTTTTTTTGTTCTGGTAGCGACGTATCTGTGTTGAAAAACAAATTATTATCTATACACGTTGGTTTCATGTGGTTTTAAAACCGCCCTTAGTATTTCATTTAATTGTCAACAATTACTAAAGTCAACACTAAATCATACTAATATTATAAATGCGAATGCTTACATGAATGGATGGATGTTTGAAGACATCTCCAGAACGGCTAAACGGATCTTGATGAAATTTGGCATATATGAAGAACATAGCCTGGAAGAACGCATACGCTACTAATTAAGTTTTTTTAATTACTCACGGACGGAGTCGCGGGCGACAATTAGTAAATTTTATAATTTTCTACACATTCTCTGTTTGGTGTGCTTTAATATTACCCTTAGTATCATTTAATTGTCAACAATCATCAAAATATTAAACTAACATCGAGCGTAGGAAAAAATCTTTTTTCAAACACAAAAATTAAAACATTTCTTACTTTATAGACTTTATGGGATTATATTACAAAAGTTTTAGTAAAATCAAGCAAACGATGAACCTGACCATAAGCGAGTGTCCAATTAACCGCGATATTTTTCACGCTTTTAAAGTTTTCTCTCTAACCAGTTCTCGCTTATGGAGGTCACGTAAGGACCGAACTCTCACTTATAGTGTTGTTTCGCTTATCCATTTTCGTATGTAATTACTCACCGGTTCAGCAAAAGTCAAATTAATTAGTAACATTAACAATATCGTTGTTAGCATTTTGACATGCATTGTTGTAAATAAAACGATTAAGTTAGTCGATAAGCTTTAAATACTCTGTAATAAATCTAATTAGAGATAAATTAGTAAAACAAACATTACGCGGGATTGTGAAAAATTAATTTGTTTTAACGTATGTCGTTATTATACTGCAACTAGCTGTCGCCCGCGACTCCGTCCGCGCGGGATTAAAAATAGATGTTGGATTCTCAGACCTACTCAATATGCTCTATGTCTAGCCGTTTCGGAGGAGTATTGGGAACGAAAATGTCGCGCGCGACTCCGTCCGCAAATTGAAAAAAACTTAATTAGTAACCAAGTTCTTCCGGACCATGTTCTATATCCATGCCAAATTTCAGCAAGATTCGTGCAGTCGTTCTGGAGATAACTTCTAACAAACATCCATCTATCCATCCAAACATAACTATTTATATTATTAGTAAGTCTAAGCACACTGACTGATGTTAACTCCGGAACTATTTGACGCTGACGTCAGTAGCGGTATAGCGTTTTCATGTATACTGATACGTTTGTCTTGCTCTGACGCGACGGTCGAGCACGGTTCGCACCTTGCCGTGTTTGGTTTAAACAACCCTTAGTATTGGTTCTCAGTTAGTCTTTTTTTTCCAATGAGATTAAAATGCCATGTTTTTATAACTTTTGGCAATAAAAACTGATGGTTAGGGATTTTAAAGCTGATTAAATTAGAATGTCTGTATGGGTAATATCGAGAAAATATCACATTTCGTATACGTCGTTGAAGTTGATAACGAAAAACGAAAATCTTAATTTTTGCCTGTCTGTCAGTCCGCAGGCACAGACAAAGGAAAATATGGAGAACTGATCGCCAACCTTCGCTAGTCGGAGAGGCACCTCAAGAAGAAGAAGAAGTCAGTCCGCAAAGCTGGGTTTGTTCCCAGTAATCTCCGGAACAGCTGGACCGTTTTTCACAGGTCTTTAACTGGAAGGTAGCTGTTGCACGCGGGTATGTTGTAGGCTATTTTTTTCTTTTTATAATCTACGTGATTTTAATCCACCAGCTATCTATCACCTTCGTCATCTGCCTTACAATTGATTTACATTTTTTCGACTGAAACTAGATAGGGCTGTGTTTATCGCTTATCCGTATGTACTCCTCCATACATCTCTATCAGCTTTCATATCTGTATTACCTTCCTAAAAATATCCTATTTCACACAGTCCATCCATACTTTTCTTGGTCTGTGCTAATGCCTATTTCTATGAAAATAATAATAATAATTAAAGTATTATCAGAACTTTGAAAATATAAAAGGGGAGAGTAATCAGGAATTAAAAAGGGATGGATCTTATTTCCAATAGTAATAAAACAAACATTGTAATCAGTAGGATTAATTTTTAATTTTTATATCATTATCTACTTCCAGAACTAAGTTGAATCGTTAAAAAAGATTGTCTGAGCGCATTTCCTGATTCACCGTTGATAATGTTTTGACAACGTGGTCCTTTACACTGTAACATACAATAACATTGAGAAATATACTAGCTGTCACCCGTGACACTGTCCGCGAAGAATAAAAAAAATACTTTATTAGTAGCCTATGTGTTGTGTCAAATTTCATCAAGATCCATGCAGCCGTTCAGGAAAGACCTTCGAACAAAAATCCATCCATCCAAACATTCGCATTTACATAAGAAAGGAAAACAGACGTTGAGTGGCATCCAGATATGAAAAGAACGGCACAAGTAAGAGAACATAAAGTTGCTTTCATCGACATGGATGTTGTCGGCTATGAAATGCAGGATTTGACACCACAGTCTGCTCAATCTAGTAAAACTTTTGGAACATACTGTAGCCAAATACTGTCAGTCAAAGAAAAATATCATTTACCATCTGTATTGATATTTGTATTAAGCTTACCTGAGCATTACAATCGTCACCAGAACACTGAATTAAAGTAGATTGAATTAGAATTAAAAAGAAAACAACTCACGTCTATTTAAAATGTGAAGGGTTGCATTGCTCCACTCTTCTCCACGCGGCGGCTGGATGATGACGAGTGAACGCCAACGTCTCGAAGATCGTGAACTATTAACCCGTGCAAGCGAGAATGACGTATCGCATTATTTTTATCCCGGTCATTCAAGGCATCCTCTCGCCATTAATGACACCGCTAAGTGTGCGAGGAGTGGAGCAATGCGCGTAAACCTTAAAACTCACGGCAGCTAGACAATCATCTCCACTGCACTGTAAATTGGAAAATACACTTTGGTTTTACGACAAATTATAGTTCAATGATGGTTATAATAATAAAATTTACCGTAGCATTGCAGTTAACGCCATCACACTGAAAAAATGATATAAAATTTGCTTTTTAAAATCTATTTGGTACAATACTAGAGTTCCTTATTAATGTGGATTGCTGCCTACTATGACACTATTTGATACTTGCAATATCACAATTAGAAATTCAATATTATGTTTTTGAATAGCTGTTGACCGTCCGTCCGATTCCGTCCGAGAGGTATTAAAAAAAAACTTAATTAGTAGCCTATGTGTTCTTTCGGACCGTGTTCTACATCTATGCTTAATTTTAGCGAGATCCATGCAGCCATTTTGCAGATATCCATTTAAACATTCACATTTATAATATTAGTAAGATTAGAATTAGAGTAATATTGTACTTACAGATACTTGACACGCGGATCCAACACACTGTTAATTTTGTTAGTACAAAATTAATTATGAAGGAAGATTTACTATGTTCTTTAGTTACTTTCCTTTTTCGCTTTTTACTTTATTCCAAATTATTTTATCATCCATAAGCTAAAATAAGGCTTTCCCTTTTTCTTCGTATTTTTCTTTACTTACTGTCTTTCACAGGATTTATATCAAGTCAGTATTTTTATATTTCCTTCTACTTTTTTCGATTTAAAACAATGTAACTTTAAAATTATAATACTAAAGATATTTACGTGTATATTAGCTCCTTTTCCTTTTGCCTTTAACGTATTAAAAAGCAATTAATATTAAACCCTCAAGAAAATGCAATAAAATTTTTAAAAGATTTATTTCTTACTTCCGACATACATGTTTGGCCCTGACACTGAAAATATAAATTTAAAAAATATGTATTCCAATTAAAAACATTATAATTAACTTAAAAAAATAATTATCAATAACTTTTTTGACTTTAAACGAATTTAAGATATTTTTAATAATATTTTCATATGGCGTACCACAGGGAGGTATATTGGGGCCATATATCTTATATTTACGAAACACAGGATTAATCACTTTAGTAATTAATATATTACAAACTAAAGCCAGGTACACATTTTCAGATTTAATTGACAATTGAAATAAGCGTCAATAGTCTAATGGTTAATACTTCCTAATATGTAATCGGGGGTTCGAATCCCACCATTCCATAATTGTTGTAAACCATGTCCTAACACAAGCATAGAGCTTAGTTATAATGGTAGAAAAATATAAGCACAGTATTAATACAAATCTGTTAATATTTGAATTAAAAAAAAGTACCTGTGCAGGAAAAACTGATAACTGTACAATTTAATTGACAATAACCATATTGCCTACACACAATTACTGAACAGGACGACTGTTCAGTTAAAACTGTGTGTCAGAAGTAAAAGTGACTCTATACAAATATAGCAAAACCAAATGATATTGACCAATTCTAAAGTAAATGCAATCAAACTTACTTTTCCTGTACAGTTAGCACCTGAACACTGGAAATAAGATTAACCATTGGTTTGCAACACAAAAATCTGGGTATAAAACAGATAAAACCTTACTATAAAAAGTAATCCAGCTTCAAATACATTTTAGCTTAAACATCATCGTCATCAGCTCACAATACGTCCCCACCGACGGGTTCGGAGCCTACCCTAAGTTAAGAGTGATTAGGCCATAGTCAACCACGCTGGCCAAGTGCGGGTTGGTTGACTTCACACATATCTTTGAATTACTTCTCAGATATGTACAGGTTGCATCACGATGCTTTCCTTCACCGTAAGAACGTCGGATAAATGTACATATGTAAATCGGAAATCGAAAAACACATTGGTACATGGCGGGATAGCTTAAACATACGTCAACCTTTTCATATCGCGACTAGATCGGAGTGGGTTTTTGATAGACCATGGCTATTGAAAACATTATTAGGTTTGCGAAATGACTTCTTGATCAATAAATAGTGAAATACGTATACAGAAAGAAGTGTCCTGATACATATCTATGGTGGAACGCGTCATCACACTGACATCCATAATATCCTTAACCGGCGTTCAAAGGGTTAAATACGTGTTTAACTAAACAGTGACTAACTATATTTTTGGGGTAAAAAAGTATTTTTGTAGTCATGTTTTGGTCCCAGAAACTCAGTATGTATTAGTAATTAAATAGTGTTGAATATTATAAATTAGTTAGTTAATACGATTATGTTATTTCACGAACATTTTGAATTACTTACTGATGCATGACATTCTGTACCAGTGCACTGGAATAACATAAATTTATTTATATTTATCTATATTATTAAATGCTTAAATGGTTTTCCACAAATCATCATTATCAGCACACGTTTTTTTATACCATAAGGTGGCAAACGAGCGAACGGCCACCTGTAATCGCTGTAATAGCGAAGTGACCGTTGCCCATAGACATACACAATTGCATATGCGTTGCCTACCTTTGATCGACGGAGAGGATGCACGGAAAGAAAATATTTTCCCTATCCATGCATCCTTTCATCCGGAAAGTCCATTTGCATTTCCCATTCTTTCCTTATAAGAAAAAGGATGGGAAGCCAAAGCGGAATAAATTAGGACTGCCACTGAAGGGCACGGATCCTATCTAAATCAATTTATTGCTGACTAGGCCATAGTCAAATAAATAATAAAAAAAAACTAAAGTCAATATTTACTTCAACAGTTGTGTCTTCACCAAGAGCCTGGAAAATTAATAATTTTTAATCAATTATTGTGCAACAGAATTAATAAATAAATATGTAAATAAAAATCTCACTTCTGACTGACAAGTCCCACCGTTACACTGAAATACATAAATTAAAACTTAAAAATACATATAACAGACTGTTAACGAATTTACAAAAAAAAAAACTAGTTGTCGCCCGCGATTCCGTCCGAACGGAATAAAAAATCTTCATTAGTAGCCTATGTGTTCCTCCAGACTGTTCTACATCTATGGCACATTTCAGCAAGATCCGTGCAGCCGTTCTGTAGATAGTCTTGCTTAAACTCGAGAACGGCTGAACGGATTCATCTTATCTTGATCTTGAAATGTTCGTGGAGGTCTAGAGAAGGTTTAAAAGGTAAGCAAAATCCGAATAATTGCCAGGAAAACCGTAAAACAGCCCGTTTCTCGTTCCCATATAAACTGTTGAATGGATCTCAGTGAAACTTGGCATAGATGTAGAACATATTCTGGAAGAACACATAGGCTCATAATTATGTTTTTTTTATAACGCGCGGACGAAGACGCGGGCTACAGCTAGTTTATAATATTAGTAAGATCAATATGGTTCGAATATACAACCTATAGATAGAGTATTTAACATAAGGCATACGTCTAATCGAGAACAATAGAGCTCTGAAAGTTTTTTTCCCCTTACTTTTGTGCACCCGCGTCTTTAGGTTATATATCTATAGTTTTAAAGTATAAAATTAGATAAACCTTTGCTTGACAGTCACTAAATTCGCACTGCAAAAATTAAGCATATTAATAAGTGATCAATTATTAAAACACGCATAAGTGGTCTTTAGCCGCTTTTTTGGGGCTGCATCATCAGCTCACTATACATCTCCACTGAGGGGCTCGGAGCCTACCCTAAGTTAAGGGTGATTAGGCTATAGTCAACCACGCTGGCCCAGTGCTGGTTGGTTGACTTCAAATATATCTTTGAATTTCTTCTCAGATATGTGCAGGTTGCATCATGTTTTCCTTCACCATAAGAACGTCGGATAAATGTACATATGTAAATCGAAAATCAAAAAACACATTGGTACATGGCGGGATTCGAACCCAGGACCTGGAGATTGCAAGTCAATTGCTTGACCTTAAGCCAACGACGCTCGCTTTTTGAGACTATAATCTTTAAAAAATATTTTATGTAACTTTACCGTAACATGAAAAGTACGGTAATTACTTAGTCGTAAGTACGAAACATACAAGAGAGAATTTTCCACGCGTTTTAAGAGGCTTCGGGAGTAATTTATATCTCACCATTAAAGCGTCTACTTGATTAAATTTGAGGAACATTTTTGTTGTTCGTTTTAAAATTTACTACCTCATTCACAAACCCTTAATCACTAAAAGAGTACTTCATTTAGTTTAAGGAATTTACATTAAATGACTGTGTTTGTTGGTTTTCTGAGACCAAATATCTCTATAAAATATATCAGAGATAAGATGTTTTAAATGGGGTGTTTGGTTTGAGAAACCCACGGTAAGAGCCACTATTAATGATTACTATAAGTGGCAGTAAGTGATAAACTTGTCTTTATTATAATAAGTCTGTGTCAACTGACCTTTGCACGACAAACTCCTCCCATGCACTTGAAAATATTAAATTTTAATAATTAATAAAATAAATCTAGCTCGAAGGACCAAATATAAAAAATATTAAAATTCAAGTTTATTCTTCAGTCGGTTTTTTTCAATTAATGTAAATGAAAGTTTGTTTTAAATCTGCTATTTTAATTTTGTATAATACAATTAGCTTTCGCCCGCGACTACGTCTGCATGGACGGACGACAGGACGGACGGATTTTAAAGAATCTAGATTATTAGCCTATGTGTTCTTCCAGGTTATGTTCTACAACTATGTCAAATTTCAGCTAAATGGATGCTTCATCCATGCATTTATCTATCCATTCAAACATTCGCATTTATAATATTAATAAAATAGTTATTACTTTCGATGAGCAGTTTTGACCTTGACACTGAAAAAAGTTTAGGTTCGTCAATATGATAAATGATTGTTATTTTTTATACATAACAAGATCCCGTCATTCACTTACCAGGCTTTCACATAATCCACCATGACACTGAGAAACAAAATACTTATTTTTTGGATTAGAAAAATTGTAAAATTAATTATCTACAAACAAGATCGATGAAAGAAATAACTATAAGAGAAACAATAAAAAACAACAAAAAACTGTTCTTAGAAAATCCGTTATCATTTCAAATTGATATAGTAACTAGTTATCGCCCGCGACTCCGTCCAGGCGGGGTTAAAAAATAACTGATTAAGCAGTCTATGTGTTCTTCCAGACTATGTTCATCGGTGCTAAATATCATCAAGATCTCTTGAGTCGTTACGGATATATCTTCTAACAAACATCCATCCATCCATCATTCGGATTAATAATATAAGTAAGATTACTTAATAATTTAATAATCCTTTTAAGCACACTTATAGATACGTACCTTTGACTGACATTCTTTCTCTTGACACTAAAAATTAATTTCAATCAATAGTGGTAGACGCCAGCAACATTTGTTCCACGAACAGACCGGCTCGCCCGGTGAAATACCACGACCACACAGAAGACAGGCGTCAAGTGGAAGCAATTCCGCGTACAGTCTGATCAGTGTGTGGCCGGATGCCTAATTTTAGTGATGTTCTTCCATCCCTTTTCTTATAAGGTAATTATGGGAAAGATGGTGGATTTGATGGAGTACGGGACGTTTAGGAAGAGGAAATATTCACTTCCCGAGCGTCTCCTTCCCTGGTTAAAGGTAGGCAACGCATCTGGAATTGCGACGTCTATATGCAACGGTTGTTTCGCTTTTTCTATTATTCTATTCTAGGTAGCTGTTTGCTAACTTGTCTAATATAATATAAAAAAGTGTCTTGACAGACGGACGGACAACAAAGTGATCATATAATGATTCCGTTTTTTTTTTCTCGAGGTACAGAACCCTAAAAAGCAAGTCAATATGCTTATAGAACATTATTAATACATCTAAAATATTTTAATGTTGTGTAAATTAATAATTATAGGAGATTCTTACGTTTGTTATACATTTGCTGCCCCGACACTAAAATATTGAAAAAAGTATTTGTAAACTAGCTGGCGCTCGCGACTCCGTTCGCACGGAAATAAAAAAAATCATAATTAATAGCCTGTGTTCTTTCAGACTATGTTCCATATGTGTGCCCCATTTCATCAAAATCCGTTGAGTCGTTTCGTAGATACCTACAAACAAACATCCATCCATCTAAAGATTCGTATTAAAATATTAGTAAGACTAGCTGTCGTCTTAGACTCCGTCCGCGCGGGATTAATTAGATAGTAGCCGAGTCACAGACCTACTGAATATGTATATAAAATTTCATAAAAATCAGTCAAGCAATTTCGGAGGAGTATGGCAACTAGCATTGTGAACAACAATTTTACGTATAAGATTTTCTTGACGGAAATACTAGAAATATGCAAACCGTTGAAGTAGACAACTCGCCTCGAGTCTGGAAATATTACTAAGGTCATAAAAATTATAATTCACTGAAAAATTAGTGACAATGAATTAAATATAAATCAACGCCATCTAGTTTATAAATGAAGAAACTTAAGTTACAACTTTTTGGATGTTTTTTAATTTTAAAAAAGTCAAGACTTACACTAGATTTGCAATGTGAACCACTGCACTGAAATTTTAGATAAATAACATTATTTTAAAGATTTAAATATGTACATAAGTATTACACATAATCTGACTGTATCATCATCATCTCACTATACGTCTCCAATGAAGGTCTCGGAGCCTATCATAAGTTAGGGGTGATACGGCTATAGTCAACCACGCTGGTCCAATGCAGGTTGTTTGACTTCACACATATCTTTTGAATTTCTTCTCAGATATGTGCAGGTTGCATCACGATGTTTTCCTTCACCGTAACAACTTCGGATAAATGTATGTAAATCGGAAATCGAAAAACACATTGGTACATGGCGGGATTCGAACCCAGGACCTGTAGATTGCAAGTCAAGTGCTTAACCCCTCAGCCGCCGATGTTCTACCTTAGACTGTATTTAAAAAAAAAACTTTGAATAAATTAAAAAAAATACTTACCATTGCAACACTTTCAGATCCATCGCACTATTTAAAGAAAAACAACAAACTTCAACTTATTAGGAAAAAGAGTCTATCCATATAACAACTGTACATAAAAGAAAAGATATAATTTTAATGTTCCGATATACGTTTTAAAATTCCAATAAACCTGTCAGTGAGAGTAAAATATAGTCGCGAAATTACATGTTAAAGCAACCCTAGAACACAAGAGGTGGCAACCCTTTTTTTTAAAGAAGGGGAATGCGTTACGCATACCGGGTGCCTCGGGGAAAGCCACTCCGGTTATGTGGGACTCTCTCCACATGCCTAAAGGGACAAGGAGCCTACCCACTAAACCCCTCTGGTTCCCTCGACTCACTGTTTACCGGGGTGTGGGCACATGTGAATACTCTTCGCACACAAGAGGTGGCAGCCCTGGAAATATGTGAATTCTCTTCGTGTTTGACAGAGAATAAAAAAAAACCTCCGGTCACTGCAACATTTACCCGTCTTCGATGGTTTCCGAGATCAAATTATCTGTATAAAAATATTGTCATCCTTGTCATTATCTTAGATAAAACAGAGATAACAATATGTTTTAACAGGGATTTTGGTCTCGAAAACTCACGTAGTCAAGTGACTTGTGACTTGACTTAATCAACTCTTAAAACCTTGTCACCCTATTCCTATTCAGCTTTTCTTATTTATGTCACTAATAACAAGCAAAGACTTACCTCAGCGATGCATTTGGATTTGTGACACTGAAAAAAACAAAAAAACAGTTGTAGTAATTTTGAAATAGATGGCGTTGTTCTCCAATTTAAATATTTTTTCTATTAGCGGTCGCATGCTCTGTCAAAATCGGTGTAAGCGTACCGAAGATAACGCGGAACAAACGCGGAATTACAGACAGACAAAGATAATTGTTTCTTCGTTATCAGCAACTGTAATCTTACTCCTTACTAATCTTACTAGTAATGGGAAAGTTTATATGTATGGATGGATGTTTGTTAGAAGTTATCTGTAAAACAGCTCAACGGATCTCGATGAAATCCTAGAACAGTGGTTCCCAAACTTATTTTGTCTACTGCCCACTTTGAGAATGAATATTTTTTTTTCGCCCCCATATTTTCACACATTTAAAAACCACTATAACTTCAAATTAAATTTATTATTTATTGTGACCTATATATGTATATTAACGGAGAATTCCAAACGAAAATTTTACTATAATATAACCCGCAAATTGAGACCTGCAGCGCCCACAAGGAGGCGTTATCGCCCACTTTGGGAAAGACTGCTCTAGAAGAACAATTAGGATACTATTTTTTTTAATTCCGCACGGATGAAGTCGCGGTCAAAGGCATGAAACATGATATATTTTTCAACATTACAGACACTCCAATTTTATATATAGAAGACGGTATTTCGTCGATAAAATCTTTGTTAAATTGCCTTTTAATTACCTGATTGTAACACGTCGGTTCTGTACTATTTCTCCATAAACCAGGAAACATGATCTGTAACGAAAAGTTTAATTTTAACTTACGACATTAAAAATCGATTAAGAGCTAAATATAATATAAAACTAAAAAAACAATAAATGGGACTAACTATAGCATTTCTTAGGAACATACTAATGACACCTAACACTTCTAATGACACCTTTCTTTATGACACCTCAATCTTCAAAATAATTGATGAGTCTCAACGACTACAAGAGGTCATAATGTTACGAATATGCGTTCTACAAAGAATTATTTATTTCTTACGAACTGTCGCCCGCGAATCCGTCCGCGCTGGATTTAAAAAAAAACATAAAAAGTAGCCTATGTGTTCTTCCAGACTATGTTCCACATCTGTGCCAAATTTCATCAAAATCCGTTCTGCCGTTACGGAGATACTTTCAAAGAATCCATCCATCCATCTAAACATTCACATTTATAATAAGATTAAAATTTCAGGCAAAGAAATATTATTTTTACCGCATTAATTTGTGGCAAAAACAGTAACAAGATAAGCGTCATTTCAAATCGACTATTAAAAGCAAAATGATTCGATTTAAAAATCGATACGATATCGAATCGATTCGATACAGATTATTAAGATTATTAGTAATTATGTACACGATTTATAACTTCGCCACGGGATATATACAATATTCTAAGCGCAAATAAACAAGAAAAAAAAATTCCAGAAGATATTTAAAATGGGAAGAAATAAGACAGGAAGAAATTAGTAACATATCTTTTATGACTTAAGTACTAACTGTCACCCGAGACTCCGTCGGAGCGGAATTAAAAAAAATGATTAGTAGCCTATGTGTTCATCCAGACTATGATCTACATGCATGCCAAATTTCATCAAAATCCGTTCAGCCGTTCTAGAGTAACCTTCAAACATCCATCCATCTAAATATTCTCATTTATAAGATTAGTAAGATAAGATTCTCTACTAAAAATACTTTTTAATATCTTTAATACGGTATGAATAAAGTTTCATGTTAGTCTTTTAGAATCATAATATAGTTTAAATAAATAATACAGTGTTCGGAGCAAGCAATTAGAAACTTGATTGAGCGCCATTCGCCTTGCTTCGGAGTCGTCTACACATCTGTTTGTGAAATTGGAAAACCTACACGTAATGTTATTTGCTGTGATTTGACTCGTCTCTCTTATTGCCTTCAAATGTACATAAAATCAAGTTTTTTTAAAAAAAAAAAACTTTTTTATTTAATTTGAAGTGTTTATTTGGGTTAAATATAATAAATGCGAATGTTTAGATGGATGAATGTTTGTTAGTAGGAACCTCCGGAACGGCTGAACGGATCTCGCTGGCATAGATGTAGAACAGCTAGTTTTGTAATAAAGGGTGTTGCCAATATGTAATGTCAACGTTCAATGTTTAAACTATTGTAATAATGTTGACAAGTTTGTTAAAGTTGTTGAGTTATTAAGAAAGTTTTCGAATCAAGTGACAATATTGATCCACACTAATTGCTCTCGCTAGTGACGTCATCTGTAAAGGTCCTTTATCTTGGAACACGTGTATCATAAATCTTACAGCGTGTAAAGGGTGTTCCAAAAGTGCACGAATTAGAATTAAAAAATATCGTCTTAATTAGTTTTAATATATAGTTTATTTAATATAGTATTAATTTATTGCAGCTGGCAAGAGCTGGATGACAGTGGCCGAGGATCGTGCTCAGTGGCGTGCCATGGGAGAGGCCTATGTCCAGCAGTGGACTAGTATATTCTGATGATGATGATGATGATGAATTAATTCATTTGTTCAAACATCCAACCATCTATCTAAACATTCGCATTTATAATATTTGTAAGAAGTAAGATAAATCGTTGAAAACTTGACGACTCGGAATAATATGATGAAAATATAAGTTCACAATTTGACGATTCTACAGTTTACAATCTGTTGACACATGAAAGATATTACGTTTAATTAACAATTTCCCAATAATTAGGCTAGTTTTGAAATTGACGAAATTCAAAATTTGACGGCGACGTAAAGAAATTGACAGAGCGGGCGTTTAAAGGCCTTCTAATTTAGCAAGTGACGTGTACCGAATAAATTCAATTTCAATGATCAAATTTTCATAATCCGTCCGACGTGTCCGGACTGCGTCGCCAAAATCATTAATGGAGAGAAAAAAAATTGAATAAAGACATTCGCTTACAGAATTATAATTAAAGTAATATTGCTGATTTAGAAGATATTTCCTTTATAATTCTTAAAAAAAAAAATTAATAAATAGCCTATATGTTCTTCCAGACTACATCTATGCCCAATTTGAGCGAGATCCATGTGGCCGTTCTGGAGATACTTACAAACAAACATCCATCCATCCATTCGCATTTATAATATTAGTATGGTTCAGTAAGTCTAAGAATCGGCTACTATGTATTTTTATTTCCGTGCGGACGAAGTCGCGGGTGGTAGCTAGTGTGGTTATAAAAGAGTATATTTTAGCTTTAAACATATATCATCAAAACTGCTTTCTAAACAAGTACTTTGTTATTTATTTGTCGAGATCGCATTTCGGATTTTTATATCAATAAAAATGTTTGCAACAAACGCACGACATGTGAAAAAAACATGACGAATTAATAAATACTCAAAATCTCCTTATTCAAAATAAATATAAAAGATATTTTATTTCGATATTTGTTTAAAAAGTAATTGTAAAAGCTGAGGAAAATGAACTGATGTGTTAATGTTTTGTATTGAATTGTTCCATTAAAGGATTTTCACACGTTTACGATGGATTTTATTTATTAAATAAGAGAAAGGTAACAGTAGGCCTAATATAAAAAACGAGAACGTATTTGTATCGACAAAATTTGTATAAGATTTGTCGATGTACTTTCCGGTCGGAAGACGTGGTGTATAACTTAAGCCAGTAACACATATAAGATTTAAACGGACAGTCGGACTGTACATTTAAATAGAATTGTAATTTAAACTGTACAGTCAGCTGCACAAATATGACATAAACATTAGCTGTCATTATCAGCGCGGATTAAAAAAAAACTTAATTAGTAGCCTATGTGTTTTTCCAGACTATTTTCTACATGTATACCGAATTTCAGCGAGATTTATGTATTCGTTCTAGAGATACCTTCTAACAAACATCCATCGATGCAAAAATTCGCATTTATAATATTAGTAAGATACAAAACTTAAGACGTGTACGCCTATGTGTTCTTCCGGATGATGTTCTACATTTATACCAAGTTTCCGCGAGATCAATAAAGCCGTTCTGGATATACCTTCAAACATCCATCCATCAATCCATCATAAGTAGTAAGATTTTTATACATATTAATACAGCTGACTGTACAGTTATTAATTTTGTTTGTTTAATAGAGAAATATAATAATAATGTTTCTAAGTAAAATAAACCGTTGAAATGTTTAAAAGCATAGCATAAATAACTCATTTGCCAGCTTTGTGGAAAATTGCCAACAGATAAAAAAAGGTCGCGCGAATTTTCAAACTTTCGTGTTATAAATTTGCAAGGATACGGCGTTCCGATCGATTGAGCATTATTTACACAATGAGGCGTGATATATTTTTTCAGCAAGTTGCCTACTTTTGACGATCTTTTCCTTTCAATTTGAACAGAAATAACTTATTAAGGCCTACCGTACAGAGCTTCAGTTAGCGTTGATACTTTAGCCTTAGGGACCATACACGAACTAGCTCAAAGCTCGATTCAATCTTTAATTTACTTAACTGGTAAGTAAAAGCGTCGGAAATTAAAAAGTTTGATGTTGAGAACGAGCGTCGGTGGCTCAAGGGTTAAGCACTTGACTTATAATCTGCAGGTCCTGGGTTCGAATCCGGCTGTGTACTAAATAATTTTTCGATTTACATAGGTACATTTATCCGATGTTCTAACGGTAAGAAAAACATCGTAGTGTAACTGACACATATCTGAGAAGAAATTCAAAGATATGTGTGAAGTCAACCCGCACTAGGCCAGCGTTGTTGACTATGTCCTAGTCAGTGACTTAACGTAGTCTCCGAGCCTCTCAATGTGGACCCATAGGGAGCTAATGATGATGTTTAAAATTTTACGGTAACCTACAATATGTACGTATAAGGTTTTACTATCCAAGTTTACGATGGTTTTTATATATGTTACATATAATATTATAGTTATATGTGTGAAAATACGAAAGTTAAGCAAAACTATAGGAGAAAATTGTCATAAAACGGATCTTCGGCGTAGACGGATGTTGAATACGTAATGAGATTCTGCTGAGACTTGCTGAAATTGCGATCTTTAGCAAATCTAGCGAATTTCAAATGATATTTTTTTACTACAGACCTGTTGACATAAAGAAATGATTATTTCAAATATGTACTGAGTTTAAATTTAAGAAAATAACGTAATAAATTCCGAAATAAGGCAACCACGTTTCGAATTATGAGTGTGCGTTCTGTAGGCCTTATTTTGATCATCTTTTTCCACCATTTTCTTATGAGATGATTGGAAGGGCAAGTGGATTTCATAAAGCAGAGAACACATCGGATTGGGTAATATTATCTTTCAGTGTCTCCTTCTCTGTTGATGAAAGATAGAGAACGCATTTACAATTCTAGTGGCTACTAGCCCCTTTGCCAAATTATAATATAAAAAAATGCTTTTTTAATCCCTTTCTTTTTTATATATCATTCAGTGGTAAACGAGCGAGTGATTATCTGAAATCGCTTAAATAGCGAAGCGACCGTTGCCCATAGACATATGCGATTGCAGATGCGTTGCATACCTTTAATCGACGGAGGAGAGGACGCATAGAAAGAAATTTTTTCTGCAATATTAGGTCTAGATATTTCGTTAGAATAAACAACATTTCAAAGCGTTAAAAAAGAATTGAATGATCTATTGTTATTGTACTTCGCTTTATGAAGGAAACTTTCTTATCTTTGTAGTTTAATAAAACTCACTCGAAAACAATACAAGTTTCCATTCCAGTTTGAAACTTGGTCCAGTCGTGTTTCAATTGTTTGTAAAGCTGTATTCGTTTTTGTTCGATTTATGTTAGTATTTAAAATATTTAGAACTGAATAGACAAAGGGTGGTTTCGGCAAGAAAAAAATAAATAAATTAGTAATTAACTAAAAAAAATGCTAAAATCTCGCAATAAATAATATCTCAGCTTACTTGCTTAGACTTTAGGGGTCAAATTAGAATCTACAAACGTACAAATGTATTAATATCCTACTAGTTTACGCACGCGACTCCCTCCGCGCAGAATTTAAAAAAAACATAATTATTAGCTTAAGTTTTCTTCCAGACGATGTTCTACATCTGTGTCAAATTTAATCAATATCCCTTAAGCTGTACTGGAGATACCTTCTAACAAACATCCATCCATCTATCCATACATCATCTAAACGTTAGCATTTTTAATATTAGTAACATTGTACATTAACTGTTTAAATGATCATTTAACGTCTCCGAGTGTAGGTTATGTATGTAAATATGTAGCACTTATTTATGTATGA